TTAAAAATTTTATTCTACATTATTTATTTTTTATTTTTAGGACATTTTCACTTTGACTTGCTGTCCTTCATTTCTATTTACTCTTCATATATCTTATTTGACCTAAATGTCAAAAAAAACTTGGTTCTTATTGATTCGACTCATTGAACTGTTTGATTAAATGATCAAAGAAAAGTCACTGGAAGAGTACAAATAAATATCAGATAAAATTTTCAACGAACAAAGTTTTTAATAGACATGATGAAGTCCCATAATCTAAAGGTGTGAATTATTGCCATGGAAACAGACAAGTGAAAATAGGCTGACCATAAGTTTGTTTATCAAATTCTAAATGGACATCAAAGTGGACATACATAATGGTGAAGGGATTACGTAGGCGCCTAAAACTCACTAGTAGAATAATCGCTGAAAGAAATCTATGAAAATATCAAACAGCTTGGTAATTGACAGAACTGCTTGAACGGTACAGAGTTTGTTGCATCTCTTCCATGCTTTGTCTCATCTGGTACAAAATGTACTCTTGGTATTGTCAAGTAATTGTTTGCCATAAAATTATTATTAAACTTTGCTAGACTTAGTTCGATTGGTCAGCTTGCTAAGTCCACCTTTGTACCAGTTTTTAAATTTTACAAATGCATGAAAATGTACTTGGATTGCGATAAATTGGCAATAGCTTTTATAAGATTACAATTACATTATTAAAAAGTGGTAGCATTTTTTGCTGCTTTTTTTAATGATCAGAAATAAATTTAATATAAAATTTACAAGGTTATTAATCCTCTAACGAATCCATGCTATCAGATTTATACTAATGATTAGAGCCTTCTATTTGCGATGATTTTAGCTTTCTGTGCGATGATTTTAACTTTTTTCACGTGATGTCAGTGGTGAATTGAATCAGAACAACTACTTTATCACCCGTTTAGTGAAAAAAATTTTTTGAAGAGCTGGAAATTGATACATTCAAAATTCATAATTTTGTAAGTATTTTTTTCGTGATAAGCTGGGATATTCAGGAATTTAGCTGAATACTTATTTATAGTTAGTAAAGTAAAGTGACTTAAGGTGAACTTCAGAGCCTATGTATAATTTGTTTATTAAATTTTAGATGGACATCGAAGTGGACATACATAATGTTCGGAGGGTTACGTAGTAGAATAATCGATAGTTACTTTTTATAGTGTTAAATTATGAAAACTGATGAGTAATTTCGAGATTACTTAAATTTCGAACATGTCAAATAATTTGAAAATGATCTGAAATCACGACTGACATATAATTGTTTTATTTTATTTGAGTTTAAAATTAAATGTTTAATGAACGAAAATTAGGTGCAAAATAATTTTGCGTAAAATCTAACTTCGTAACGCTCTGATGGAATCTTCTGAAACGAATTTTTATATGAGTTTTGTTTTGGCAAAACTATTATTTCTTAGAAAATAGTTTGTAATATTTTTATATAATTATGTTTATTTTATGCAATACATTTGCAAGCTTTTTAAATTTTCACATTTTTTCATAATTTTATCACTGTAATAATGGTAACAGTTATTCAAATATTATGATTACTGACTACTGCAAAAGTATTAGTGCTTAATTTGAGTATAATTTTCAATCAGTAGCGCATCGGATAGTTTAAATTTTATCATTGAATTCAAATATGGCATTACAATTCACGTGAGAAACATGTTTAGGTCAAGAAATACGTAGTTTGCATGTGAAATAACTGCGCGATAGGATTACTAGATTCCTTAATTGTTTCTTCGCTAATCCCTACATCTTCAACTTCTATTTCATCGTTTTCTGAATCCAGTGCTAAAAATTAACTATGATCAAATATTTGTTCAAAGTAATACTTTGCAAATTATTAAAAATATAGTAATTTGGAAGGATACTTAAGTTCCATAAGTTACTGAAAATTTTTTCAATTGAGTCATCTTGTATTGGTAGTTTGCTGAATATTTTCGAGTTTTATTCAAAAAATTAAAAAACTGATAAACTTTTAAATATATATTTCAAAAAAAGTATATTTTAATGCTAGTATGATGAATACTTCAAAGTTAAGCAGTATTTTTCATTTTTAAATAATAAAATTTCTTCTCAAAATTAATATACCATCATCGGAGTCACAGTTGGATTTCAGATCATCATTAGATTTAGCATCTATTTCTGAGCTAGTAAGTCCATCTCCTTTAGTTACTTGCTGTTTTCGTTGGATTTTCTTCATCTAAAACCAAAACTATGCATAAATACAATTCAGATTCACAAGAAAATCAGTTGTAAGCAAATTTTCGTTCAGAGTTTTGTAATAAAAGAATTTATATGTCAAATTAGCACTTGGAAAATTTAAATGCTAAGTTTTGAAAATGTTTTTAATTGAAACGTTTTGTAATCAATATTTTCAAAATTTTCAGAAATGATAAAATTTCAGATTCAAAATTTAACCTTGGCACGTTGATTCTGGAACCAAACTTGAACAACTCTTACGCTTAAATTTGTCTCTTTTGCAAGTTGCTCACGCACCTGTAAGTAATTCAAGTCATTCTTTTTGTTTTCATGACTTTGAGTGCTGCGTTATTGCTTGCAGTACAAAGTACTGAACTAATTTGAAACACAATTTATTTCTCACAATTTCGTAGGAATTCAACTCTGATCAAGTGACAATAAGTACGTGATGAAGAAACATGAAAACTTAGTTATTTTCTTGAGATAACCTTTCGACATGGTTTGGATGTTTTCTCAAATGCTTGCTTAAAAGCTTTTCGTTGTTGTGTATTAAGAATTGTACGTGGCCTTTTTGGCGTTTTCCGACTAGAATCACTCTGATCGAAAAATACTGAAAAAATAGTCTACTGACTTTTTGAATCATAATTATTCGAAGTCATATTAATAATGGTTGAATAATATGACTTTTTAAATAATATAAGCAAGTATATAGGACTTGGCGAAATTCGCTGTGGATAAATAATAATTCCTGCGATATGTTTTTGAATGCCAAGTTAATATTCCTACACGAATTGATGAAAAATATTAGAAAGGGGATTAGGTGATGTATTTTTTCAAAATAGATCATGTGAACTTGAAACCTGTTCAG